TTAAGGGAGTGAGGTCAATCTTGAGCTTTCATTGAAAATTTTGATCGTTATGGTGCAATTGTAATTGATATTTAGGCTTAAATAACTAGCGGGTTTGAATTACTTAGTATAAGCTTGAATGTGAAAGCACTCATTATTGAAGAATCATCACATATCTGGATGTTGAAATTGCCGGCTAGACCCAACTGAACTAAAAAAAATAAAATGAGTGAATTAAGAGATCTATTTTAGTGTGTGGATTTCACGAGTGGGAAATGAAATATATGACCACAAAGGGTCGGGTTGAAGCCAATTTTGAAAATTTTTCCGCCTTGACAACTTTTCCTAATTTAGATGATAATGGAAAGTGATTTTGCAAACACACACCGATCAAACATTGGATAAGTATAAATTATTTTTGCTAGCATTATTTGGAGCATATTTGTGAATTGATGATAACATTTTACATCATTGATATTTTTGGCAATCTATTTAATGTGTTGATCTTTATCAAGTGTGCATGATTGTGTTGTCGATAATCTTGCTCGGGACAAGCAAGAACTTAAGTTTGGGGGTATTTGATAAGTGTGTTTTCGTACACTTATTTAATACCTAATTATGTTTATTATTGATAAAAAAGAGTAAATTTCTACTCACAATTATGTAATTATTGCTTTTGTAGGTGAAAATCACCCAAAGGAAAGAGAACAAGACAAAAGGAAGAAACATGGCCTAAAAGCGTACAAAATTCATGACTTTGGGAACCAAGATGTACAAGTACCGAAATTTGAGGACCTTTGGATGCAATTTATGGATGGTAAAATTTGGAATGAAAGTTAAATTTTGATGATTAGATTGTACATGATGAAAGTTGGAGGACTTGGAGTGTTTTTTGGTTTTTAGGCTCACTTTTGAAACTTGAAATCATTTTAATTATTTTTTGTAAAACCAAGGACCAAGGCTGCAATTTTCACTAGGTTTTGTTTTAAAAATCAGCATATGACTCTTCTTCCAGTAGGGGCATTTTCTTAATTTTCTGCTGGGCGCAGCAGCTTCCTGTTTTGGTTCTCATTTGTTGATTTTTTTTCTTTTTTTCTTTTTTTCCTTTTTTCTTTTTTCCTTCCATTTTGTGTTGGGATTTTGG